ATCATCTGAAGCATCATCTGAAGAGTCCTCTGAGGAATCATCTGAAGAGTCATCTGAGGAATCATCTGAAGAGTCCTCCGAGGAGACTTCTGAAGAGACCTCTGAGGAGACCTCTGAGGAGACATCTGCTGAATCCTCTGAAGAGACTTCTGAAGAGACCTCTGAGGAGACTTCTGAAGAGACCTCTGAGGAGACTTCTGAGGAGACTTCTGAAGAGACCTCTGAAGAGACCTCTGAAGAGACCTCTGAGGAGACATCTGCTGAATCCTCTGAGGAGACTTCTGAAGAGACCTCTGCTGAATCCTCTGAAGAGACATCTGAGGAGACATCTGAGGAGACATCTGCTGAATCCTCTGAAGAGACTTCTGAAGAGACCTCTGAGGAGACTTCTGAGGAGACTTCTGAGGAGACTTCTGAAGAGACCTCTGAAGAGACTTCTGAAGAGACCTCTGAGGAGACCTCTGAGGAGACCTCTGAGGAGACCTCTGAGGAGACCTCTGAGGAGACCTCTGAGGAGACCTCTGAGGAGACCTCTGAAGAGCCAACAACTGCTAGCTCCAGCGAGCCTATTACTGAATCTTCTACTGAATCCTCTTCTGAGTCTGAAACTCCAACTGAACCTGTCATTGATGGTGGATTCAACCCAGAAAACGAAGTTGCAACCTGGAACATTGAGATACCTGGTAACGTTGGTCCATGGTTGTCTGTCGAAGTTAGTATCACAAAGGATGCTGCCACTGGTGAGACTTTCGACTTTACCTCTGCCACTTTGTACCTCAATGGTCAAGTCTACTCATCTGCTGTTGTCGCTGTTTCTGACGATACTATTGACATTGTTATTTCAGAAGCCATTGGACTGGATGATTTGATCACTATCACTTTCAATGCCGACACATTCAGTGGATATGAGTGGACTGCCCTTGCTAATGTTCGTATCACGATTCCAGATGAAAGACTTGTCAAGAGAGCTGTCATAGAGTACGACTTGGAGATGACTGTTGTTAATGAAGCTGCTGTTCCAAGTTCCTCTGAAGAGTCCTCTGAGGAGTCATCTGA